AAAATTTTTAGGGGGGGCTTGTATTATGAAGGGGCTACTATTACGACTTTCGTACAAAAATTTTCAGAAAACAAAGGAGATTTTGAATTTCGACGCTCTTGTCTTTCTAATCACGGTAATCTCAATTAATCTGAAAAAAATCTTTTTCGAGATAAGAAATGTAAATTTTATTCGTTTCCTTTTTTTTACACACGACATCATACAAGAACAATTAAAGTAAAAAAACGCGTGTCGATCAAATATGTCGTTTAAAAAATTTAAATTATTTTTCCGACGTAATAGAAGCCCCTGGGCTTCTAATACACCATCCACATCGATTGCTTCAGAGGGGGCTTCTAATACGAAGGGGCTTCTAATATGGGGGAGGCTTCTATTATGGGGGGTTTACACTTCAACCGACCGATTGCTGTCGGTTTCGAATCACAAGCGAAAGATGACTACTGTACAACAAAAGTTCGAAATGTCAACTGGAATCGTCCAAGAGAGGTTGAAAAAAGGCAGTAGATCTAAAAATGATCTATTAATTAATTCATTTTACATTTGTCCTATCACTGGCGAATTTCGGATATAGATGAACACAGGTTAAAATTTTCTTCCATCATTTTCTTTCACATTTCGAAAACATTCGTCCGAAAACATTTCCTGCTTCATGAAATATTAGCCCGAAAAAAAAGTTTTTTTTCTCCATTAAAACGTGATTAATCTATATTGTGTTTCCTACTGAGTTTCATACACTATCAGAAATTAGTCCGCGAATTTTTCTTCGCTTCGTATTGGGTTGAACTTCGTGCTCAATACCTCACATTAATACTGAAATAAACCATAACAGGAAGATTTTGAAAATACACAAGCTTAGCTTTCTGCAAAAAATCGGTTTTTCAGAAAATCCGCACTTTAATCTGCTGTGGACTCGACCGGTTTTTTACCGGTTGAACTCCAAAACTGAACCGGCCGGTTTATTATCGGTTGAACTACGCATTAAACCGGCCGGTCCGGTTAGAAAAAATTCAACCGGTTCCAACTCTGGAACAAATACGTTCTTTCATGATTATAACTGAACATTTAGAGGCTAGAAGCCATCTTAGGAAAGGTATAGATTACTTTATCCGCTGTTTATGTCTTTCTTCTTACACCTCGTTTTGACACGTTTCAGATGATGAACAAGGGCAGTTGCTGATGTGTGTATTGGGACCAGATGGCACAGGAAAATCTTAGTTGATTAACCCTTGTTCTGAGTATTTCAAAGTCACGTATCGAAGCCGTATGCTTCGAAAATTAGCTCCAACTGCTGTTGCACGAGGTATTGCAAAGAATAGAAAAGATCTTCCTTTCAGCGGCATTAACGTCATATTCTTCGGCGATTTTATTCAATATCCACCCGTAATGGACAGACAGCTATACACGAGTATTTTCGACGGTACTGACGATACAACCAGTAACCAGCCTAAGAATTTGAAAAAGGGTGTTTCCGAGAAAGAAATACAGTGCAAAGTTGGCCGGTCGTTATGGCTCCAAATCATTACGTGTGTACAATTAACTCAGCAAATGCGAACCGAAGATGAAAAATTCAACGCTCTGCTCGGACGGCTGCGTCGAGGCCGAGGTACAGATGCAGATTATGAATTACTACTAACTCATGTTGTTGGGGAGGCGAAGTTGAATCATTAAACACGATCGACTGGAAACAAGCACCAATATTAGTTTTCCGCAACGAGTTACGAACGCTGCTAAATAACCCTGCTATAACCTCCCGATCAATTTTTGAGAGTCACATAACTTGTGAACTCATGCTGATTTGATAGACTTAAGTTCTATTCCACATTTGTCCTCGAAACACGCACTCACTCTCATAAACTTCTCTGACTGGTGAAAAGCTGACTTTTATGACTTTTGTGCTTTTATGACTTTTATGCTTTAAGTGAACAATACTCTCTACACCATATTCATTCGACTTACAGTCAATGGATAGAGTGAATCGATGTGATTCACGTTATTTATTTTAAAGTGCGCATAATATTTAAAAGTTACCGTCAAAAGTTCAGCGCATAGAGAAGCAAAATTTTTGATGGAAACTGGTTTTCGTTATAACGATAGAAATGGATATTAGTAATGGCCGCTTGGAACAGCGAAGAGTCCAGCATTTATTTTTCGCCATATGGTCTAAGGAGATACTCATCATGGGTTTAGGAGCACAATGAGGCAGGAAATTTGGTGATCGCTACATTCTACATTAGCTAGTAAACCTATTGGGTAAAACGTGGAGATCATCGACTGCAAACCTCCAGACCTGTTCAATCATTCTTTAATGTAAAAGACAAGATAGAAAAGTTTTTATTATCGGATATAGTTTACGACATCCCGTGCGCGGATTGTGATGCACGATATATAGGAAAAACCATTCGGCAAGCGTGCTGTCGTTTCTGGGAGCATGGTCTTTCAAAGGATCATCCATTTTCATCAAACATGTCGTTGTCTAATGATATTGATGGTACTGCTGGTCATTTATCTTTATCACTCTCCACGACTAACAATAGTACTCAATAAATTGAAACTTCGAGAAAAGTGAAAGTTAGACCGGTGAGAGCTGCCAAAACTAAGGCATCGGCTCACATTAAAGAACAAATATCTCAAATGAGTACGTCAGAAGAGTATACTGCTCTGAAATTAGATCCTGTGAAAAATTGTGATATTCAAACACATTGTTATGAAACTGGACACTCTGTCGATTGGAATAGTTGGCGTGTGTTAGATCATGATTCAGTTGAATATAGACTGTTAGTCAAATCATCGCAAACAGTTCTAGCCTAAACAATACTGTCAGATCTGGTCCTTTAATTGTCTATCCAGACGGACTCTTTCGAGTAAAAAAGTATGATCCTAGTAGTCGAGGTGAAGAAAAATACTACAGAAAACGACAAATATATTTTTACTACATTCTTGTTTTGTTCTCTATCTATTTTTTTCTTTTATCTTCTCTACTCTTAGTCAAAAAGTTTTATATATACTGATACAGTGATACAGTTGTACGTTTAAAAAAATTTTAGTTGTAATTTGCTCTTGATAATGGCTCTAAGAAGAGACCGAAACGCTGAGTTTATTATTCAATAAAGAATATATATTCAATCAATTATGGCTGCTTTTCTAATATATTACTCATTCCGATTATTGGCTCTAACCTCATCTGATTATGTTTAACACATGTTCTAATCCCACAAAAATGGGGCATGACAGCGCTTGACACATGTCCAAGATCAATGTATGATCGTTTATGAATGTCTGTTTGAGAACTGCACTGAAGATGTCTAAAATCGATCACCCACAGTCATATTACTCATACGTTCATATTTGCGACACGTCATATCATTTCAACTGATGGCAGACGCGTGTTCATTGACTGTCGAATATTCACGACATTCATAAGTTGACATTTGATAACACAGTTATGATCGCCCGATTTTTGTTTATGATTCATTACAAAAAACCAGACAAAAAATTATTTCTGTGCTCACACTGTATTCTACGCGTGCAATGGATAGATGTGCACACTGGATATAGTATTTGCAATGCATGCATACACCCACCTTTTCTGTGCGTACAGAACAAGAAAAAGAGAACAAACCTTGTGAGTTAATTTCTGTTATGTGCAGAATGACAATAGTTGCTGAAGAGAGAGAAAGAATAAGAGAAATACTGCTTTTTTTCTTTATATTACTATGTTCGTTCTTTCGTTGATAGTAGTGAATAAGAGAGAGTAAAAAATAAAAGTATATTCTCAAGTTGTTTAGACAAAGAGAAATATTACTATTATATAATATAGTAAATTTCAATTTTAGTACGATAGAAGAATCATGTCGCATTCAATGTATGCTGGTATTAAACAAATTCTTAAACGTACACCTACAGCACCTGATGATTTAGATTTTGATGGAATTCATGATGGTTACGATGTCATTATTGATTTTGAATCAGCTGAGGTATGAATGTACACCCTTTGGCTATCGACCTAAGAATGTTTTGATTTGTGATTAAATACAGAATTTACCACGAATGGATCTTGCTGGTGGAGCTGATCCATTTTTCAAAGCAAATATTGACGATCAAATCCATTTTACGTACGTATCACTAAGCTGCACGAATGTCACTTTACTTTTTGCTATGAAGCTTATTCAAGACTCTAATTACTGAATTAATCCTACATTCAAAAGAGTCTTCAGCTTTGACTCGCGAACTTATGCAGTAGAGACAGAAAAAGGCAGGACACAAAGTGAACATATTCATTCTTTCATCATTCGCTCGTCCACACACATCCATCTAGTTTTTCTAGTGTATTCACTCTCTTCTTCAACGAATGTCTTTTGCTCTATTTCGCTCTGTATTCATCACACTTTTAGTTGTTCTGTTATACAATGGCTCAAAAATTATTCGTCAACCTATATAATGTGTCTCTGTTTTGTGTGCAAAAACAACATAAGATAGACAGTTTGGGCGTAGAGCACCACCGATACTCCACATGCAAATACTTTCAGGCTTCTGATTGTCTGTTCCTCCTATTTTATAAGAAAAATACCAAATAAATAACAGTTTTTGATGGTAAGGTATTATTCGTCGACTTTCGAAAGAAAATTCTCTTTCGGACAAAAAATGGTATTAGTGAAAGATTTTGATTTCTTTATCGTTTTGCCTCTAACGAAACACATACGAGAGAAAAACGTCGACGGGGTCATGAAAAAATGTTTCTAAATGAAAGGACTCTCTTTGCTCTGTTCTTGCAGAATGTTGAGATGATAAAAACTTGTTTTTCAAGATACCTAGCTGTATTATAATAAAAAATTAATCGTGACGACCTAGAAGCCTGGAGATATATCAAAGGGAAAAAAGTGCACTCCGTCGCTCCAGCCAAGTTACGGGCCTTTTCTTAGAAACTTCCGCGCAAAAACTTCTCTATCTTTCTATATAAAAAGTAATTCGGTCCGAGCACTATTAAAATTATTTCGAATTAGCGAACGGACAGAATATCGCTCAAAACTCTTAAGTACCAACATTAATCAAAATCCGTTCGGTCCTTCATCCTGTAAAAACTTAAAACCTGCTCATATTACAGACTTGTTGAGTAACAAGATAGAGAAAGACAATATTGTTAATTCAGAAGCCTCTGACTTAGCTTTAAGGCGAATAAAATTTCTTAAGTTTCCTTAAGCCCACAGCACTCCGAACTACTTCGTGCCACTCCAAGCCACTTCACCAAGCCACTCCGAGCACTTCGGCATCCCACGGAGCGGCGGAGTGTGCTTTCCCCCCTTAGATTTAAAATATTTGCGCACCTACGTTCGATGGATAATCTTGGTTAATGCTGAAGCTTAATAACGAAATAGTTGAATTGTTATGAGATGATGAGGCTGAAGAAAACACTCTTTTATGATATAGGTC